GCGGCACTCCAAACACGGAAGCGGCAGCTCCAAACATGGCGGCAGTGTTCTAAAGGGCGGCGGCACTCCAAATGGCAGCGGCACTCCAAATACAGAAGCGGCAGCTCCAAACGTGGGGGCGGAATGGGCAGAAGGGAAAGCAACAGCGGCGGGTGCCAAAGGTCTTGGGTCTGCAGCAAAGGTGTTTGGTGGGAGTAGGGAGCTCTCTGTGCTTCGCCATGATCACCTGTTAGGAGCGGCTGGTGGCGAGGCTGCCTGTGGGGCGCTCTAGATGAGGATGCAAGGGGGGGAATTAAGTCACCCCCGAAAAGACGGCCTAGCCATTTTTTCGGGGCTCAAAAAAATATAAGACCCGGCCTTTTTAAAGAGAAACACGGTAGTAGAACATGAAGAGAAATTGAATAGAAAAGTTGGTAGAACTAGAATTAGTTTCGTTGTGCAAAGTAAAGCTAGGAAAAACAATTCACCAATGCAATCTATCCATGAGGGAAGGTAAAACAAATTTTATACTTTCAAGAACAAATTGATTACTGTAGTTCAATTCCAGAATGGATTAAAAATTATGCCACCTGAAAGAACTTTAAAAACTATTAATGATTTAAAAATTAATATATTATCCTGTTTGATCAAAAATTATCATTGTGGTTCATCTTTAACACTCTCCAATTTTCTTTCCATGTTTTCAAATTTGTTTAGTATTGTTCAAGTACTGTTTAGTACTGTTAGTACTGTTCAAGTATTAAATGGTGGGGTTTTTGTAAGGTTTTCAAGGGCATTGATGTTATTTTTCCTTGTTACATTCCTCTCTCATTCTACAACTTCCATATCTGCCCATGTTCTAAAATGCAATCTAAAACCAACCAACCAACCCAAACCAACAACTGAATTTACTTGTAACATATATCTTTAGGATCTCTTTAGGAATCATGAAGACTCCTGTGGACCGTAGTGTATATGAACGGATAATGAAAAATATTGGAATAACTAGATAAAACAAGCCAATTTTACCTTCCAACCATGAAATATTATTCTTCTTTGGAAGGGGGAGGATAAATGAATGCACAAGAGGGTTGTGCAAAGCCTTTGAAAAAGTTGTTTTGCAGTTCATGGGAACACACACTTCTCTTTTCGGGTCATAAAAACAGACATGACTTTTTTCAGGCACCTGTGGCTGTTTCATAATCTTCTGCTGGATGAATGAGAAGAAAGCCAAATGAAGTGTCTGTACATACCTGTGCTTACAGAAATAATTTGAAACTGTTTTGTAAACCTTGCAAATATGTATCTGCTTTAATGATTTTTTTTTAAGGTGGTGGTAAGGAGATTGCATGTGTTTTTTCAATTTCAAAGTACTTCTTTAAATCCCACTTCAACGTTCTTTCCTCGTCAAAGTAAATTATCAAAATTATTCTGAATAAATTTTTATCATAATAATTTTTGTTATGACATAACATTACTAGGTATTAAATGAAATTATAAGAAAGTAACAGTTATTAGAAGAGCAATGGTGCTGCAGTGATTTGAATGCAATATTGCAGGCTAACTCTGCCAACTGCCAGTAATTTGATTCTGATCAGCTCAAGGTTGATTCAGCATTCTATCTTGCCAAACTCAGTAAAATGAGGGTCCAGATTGTTGGGGGCAATAGGCTGACATTGTATACCACTCAGAGAGTGCTATAAAGGAGGGGTTGCCAATCTTTTGGACCTCAGGGACCACCAAACTCATTATTTTAAATCCCGCGGACCACTAATGTGAATTTTGACTGACGTGGCTTGCTGACATTGGTGGGAGGAAGAGGGAGAGAGAAAGAGAGAGAGATCTGATCTAAGGAGGGCTGGTTATGTTCTCTCTCTCTCTCTCTCTCTCTCTCACACACACACACACACACATACACACACACACACACACACACCCTCCAAGGCAGCCACATTCCTAGACTGCTTTTGAGCTCTGTTCTCAGGCTTCATGCAAGGAAAGCAGCAGAAGCAGCAGAAGTCTTTCTTTGATAGGGTATTAAAAAGCCAGATAACTATGATGCATCAGGTGAAAAAGGATTTGATCAAGAAACGGGACCGTCAGCGCCTCTCAAATTTATGAATATGTCCATACCTGGAGAAAAGTGAAGAAAATGAAGCAAAATTGATCCAAGAAGTACTGGACTGGGCTACCTCGATCCTCCCAGATGTCCCCTCTACAAGATATGATATTGATGTAATATATAGAGTCGGCCCAAAAGGTTGGGAAGAAAATTGTCAAGAGATATTGTGATATGACCCTGGTCCTATGCAAAAAAGCAACAATTGATGTGTGATGTTTAATAGATGCCAATTCTCTGCTGAGATGGAAATATCTGTCCATCCTTTTTCTGAAGCACATGAATCCAGCTTCTTCTTTTTCTCATCTGCGATGTCCCCATTTTGCTATAACTGGTCTGTTTAATAACTGCAGTACTGATTTTTTTCTTCTTTCTCAAACTCTGCATGCAAGCTATCTATCCACCCCTACTCTACATCCCCATCTCTTATTCTCCAACAATGCCTTTCCTGGGAGTATCATACACAAAGGGGGAGAGGGGGCCTTGTTCTCATGTCTTTCAGCCCTGTACAGATGACTCTGCAACCTGTGAAAGCATGAATCCAGATGCTGCATCCAGAGGAGAACTTCCATTCATTGAGCCAGGAATTGGGTTTGGATCCAGCCCTCCACTTGAAAGTCATCACAGCAACCAGAGTGGAGCAGACCTTCCCAAGCCTAACTGACCACCCTTACCAACAAGCCAAGCCTAATGCCACCCAGCAGACATGAAAGAGAGGACCCTGAGATGGATAAGTAGAGAGTAAAGATTCTTTTCAATCCCCAAAAGGCAGCTGTAAAGACTATGGGGGAGGGTGGAGATTCATTGTAAAGTTTTATTTCTTTGCATCATTCACAATTGTAACTGATCAGTTAAATGGGTTCTTAGAGGGATTGCATTTCGGAGTGGTTGGCACAGCAAGTTCTGAACACCTTGGATTTCTGTCTGGTGGGAGGGAAATTTGTCGAGTATGTTTGTATTGTTTGTCTTGTAGAAGCAACTACACATACACACACACACACACACACACACACACACACACATGCACAGAAGGGGAGAGAGAGAAAGATTCCCCATTCAAAATCAGACTGAGGCTATCCCTTTCACTTACCTCCACACAAAGCTTTTCCTAGACTGGTTTTTGCTCTGTGGCACTAAGGCCCAAGTATATTATATCTCCTGGTCAATTCCATGGGGGAGCGGGAATTGCCTGGAGGGCAATGCCCCACTGAAGAAGTAGCAGAAAAGAGGTCTCCAAATCCCAAGCCCTAATTGTGACTCACAAATGATGCTGCCCAGTAAAAGCAGGATATGTTGCACTGGGTCTCACTAGTAGGAATCCCAGGGCTCATTGTGCCCAATTTGAAAAATACTAAATAGCCTAGATTGCACACTGGCTGACATCTATTTGGCCTCATAAAAGTAAGAGCTAGGGCAGATTCAAGAAACAACCCTCAAAATGGGCAGCCAGTAGTTATGTAAAGCAAAACCATGGCTGTGAAGAATTCTGGGGCAAATCTGACTGGAAGCTCACAAAAAAATGACATCAAACATCAGAAAATAATTGGCATAGAAAATTGGATACTGTAAATCTCTTTCCAGAACTTTCCCCCTGGTTGCTAGACCTTAATGGGTTAAAAGCTCTCCTTTTGGGAGCCACTGAAGGAATCCTTCTCTGCTGTCCCTGTCATTATATCCCCTCCTGTGCCTCAGCTGCCTTAAGTCATGCAGTCCTGACCCTCCAAAACATGATGAAAAAGGAAACCAGCTTGCTTTAATGATGGTTCAAATTGGCCATGAGTATCAAATATATTCAGATGCTACCCTGGATTGTGCTGAGGGAAAAATAATTGGCAAAATTATTTGCCCTAGCACAAAATGGGGGATTGTGGGAAGCATACCCCAAAGGACAGTGCCAGAAACTCATGACACCAGAAACCTCAGAAAACAGTGCCAAGAAACTCAAGCCAGCCCTTCCCCCTTTAAGAAAACCAAGAAACACCAGCTGAAATGAAAACTCAGAGCAGCCCTGCTAACAGAGCTGACAACAGAAACACTTAAGTAGAGCCATTAAGCTAAGGGGAATCAGGCTAAAAATAACTCACCAAGGCAAAACCAGAACTCCCCTTTTCCTGCCCCTGAAAGGATTAAAGCCCAAGGACAGGAAAAACAAAAGAGCTGGGACCAAGATTAACCCAGGAAAACAGGAAAACAAAACCCAGGACAATCAGAAACACATCAAAACCCATCAAGCTGCAGGAGCTTCAATGGGGAAAAACATAAAAGGCTCAGATTCATACTTCCAAGTTGCTTGCGAGCCAGGAACAGCCGAGCTGTGTCACTTTTTGCTTCTTGCCTTCCCACATTAAAAGAATTCCACTTTCTAGCAGCTGGCTTTTGCATCCATTTCTTCTCAGTGTCTATGGTGTGTCCCAGCTGGGAACGAACTCAGGAAATTTCTTCCAACAGGAGGAAGAGAACAGACTATTTTAATTTGAAAAGTTACAAGAGGCTCATACTGGCAAGTACACCACATTCACGTTGTCAGAACTAAACCTAGAAAAAAGACTCACCTCACATACTGTTTCTTTGCAACTCATACTGCTTATGTCAAAGTTTATTTTGAAAATGAAAATATTTATTTTAATGAAGTATATAACCTCCTGAAGCAGCTTTAGTTAATCCACACAGACATATTATTTATATTGTATAGGAATAAACCATTTCTAATGTGGGGTTTCAGTTTCTCATTCATATTTGGAAGCAATCCTATGCATGTAAGTAATTTTCCTTTGGTTCAGCACACAGCTAGTGGTATATTCTACATATGATTTCATTTCTTTTATTATTCAAATCTTGGAACAAATTTCAGTTCACTCTTTGCATTCTGGATTTCAGAGAGATTAACTGCTGGTCCTGGTAACTTCTTGGCTCCTGGGAGAGTCTTTTTCTTTTCTTCTTCAGGTGGAGTTGGAAGACTCTATATAAAAATAATAAACTTTATTCTTCAATTGTTGTAACAAGGATCCAGGAAATAGAGGACATCACGCAGTTAAGGTTAGAATATAAAAATATATTTAACAACATAATACTAGTAAATTGTCCATATTATCAAAATTGGATTTCTCTTCTTTACAGAACAGGTAACAATTTGATATAATCCTCATGATTTGGACTACAATTCTCATAGTTGCTTTCACTGGCCATGTTGCTGATGTTGGTGGGAAGGTGGGGGAGTGGGACTGAAATTCAAAACACCTGTCACATGCCTATTTCTGTTTAGCAGTAACCATGTAATTTTTGAGAGCTTCAACAAATAATTCACTATAGTATCTGCCACTCACACATGGACTTCCAAGGGGGATAAAAAAGAGGGCAAAGGACAATGCATTCATAATGACATAATCAGTTAAATGCCATGACTTATCTCTGGCCCAAGTACATCAGTATGGCACTGATGTAATTATGTTGCACATGTCATCATTTTAGCATTACCAGTTTGCTGTGGAGCTTAGTGTGTTCAGAACTCACATTTGGTTATTCAGAATTTAGGGGTACCAAATTTTGAAAATGTGCACCTAGTCATGTGCCATAGCTATACCACTGGTGGGCAGAGTTCATTTGAATGAGGATTATCCCTCATTTCTACATGATGTGATGTTATTGACAAGTTCAATTCTTGTTCAAGGCTCTTTTCTACAACTGTATATTTAAGAAATAATTTTGAAAAGAAAAATCTTTAGCTCTCAGGTAACCCTACTGCCCATCTGCTATGAATTAAAATTGTATTTTTTCAGGATTACATGGGAATCTGAAAAAAAGATTGATGATGCTTTAAAAAAATCAACTAATTAAAGATAATGGATCTGTTAAAACAGCAATGTACTGTTTCAGATTTAAGTATCTGAAAGCCAGAAGAAAGAATCAATTTTAATCAATAGTAGACAAATGTTGTACTTATGTGAGGTCTAGACTCTAGGGTACTTCTGAATTATTTTCAAAGTAACTAGCCAATTCTCTTCAACTCCTGAAATAGTTCCTCCACTGATTCCAATGTTTCTCCATTGGGCAAGGTATTACAGGTGCCCATTCTGATGTTGTATATCTTTCTCAACCCTGAATATAAGCTTATCCAACAAATACAAAATATATTTTAGAATTAATCTGGGATTACCATAAATGTATTGCTCAAGTTGCCTCATGACTTGATTTATTTATGGTACACAATATATAACTTTGGTGTGCATACACATAGACATACACACATAGACATGAGCGTGCAAAAATATTTCATACAAATCCAATCCATGTGAAAAAAATAAAATATATTGCATGCATTTGTCTTGTCTGAAGCATTTAAAACTCTGCAGCCAGCTATGATTGTGCAAAGGTGGCATTTGGTCCATTTCTCAATAAGGCACCTTCTTCACATTAAAAGTAGTTGAAATTTGGGGTAATTAAAACAATCGATAATGCCTCTTTACTGAAAACAAAAGAAGAAGAGATAACTAGTTCCAATCCCCTCATGCCATTATTCAAAAGCAAACATAAAACAACAAATGATTTCATATGACAGCCTTCCCCTGGTCTACAGTACTGTGGAAACAATTGCAAAGATCTGTAAATGGCCAATAATAAATTCTGGCTGCATTTAAAACTGTATTACAACACAAATACAATATGTATTTTCTGAGTTGAAATGACTGAAAGCAAAATATGACAAGGATACTATCCAATATTAAAAAGATATAATGGTGTGAAGACACAAATCTAAAACTGATTTTGTTCAGGGAGTCCTTAAAATTGTAAAATACACACTATGTCAGGACACTCAGTACAAAAGGCAGATTGACTAAATGCAGCATATCTTTATTTACAAAGAAAGCAAGATCATTTCCTTCTATCTATTTATATTTCAGCTAAACCATTCTCCTCTTGCAAATTATCATTGTTTTGCCCAATGGATCAGGGAATAATGAAGGCATGGAAAATTATTTATTGAAAGCTGATTCCATTTTGCAATCAGCAAGGAGAAGTGTGGGTTTTTGTTATGACTGTACTATTATCTAGAAAGATTTATCTCCAGAAGTTTCATTTAAAATCACAATTTTCTTTCAACCCTTCATATGTTGGAAATCCAAATCCAGAAGCATTGGCTCTTCTTCACATTATGATCTGCTGGACACAAGGGGGTAGTAGGATGTAAATAAAGAGTTGAGAATTTACTCACTATATCCCTTCATTGCACTGCCTGTTCTTTATCTAAGGAGCTGCAAATATGAAGGCATTGTCTTTGCCTCGCCTTTCACTCATCCTTACTCACATTAGATTCCCACTCTCAGAAATGCTGACATGTATCTGAAATTAGAATTTGGTTTGATGTGTCTAAAGTCAATTATATGACCCTTGATAGTAAAATTAGTTTATTTGACAGTCTCTAACTGAACAAACTGTATTTTTATCAGAAATATTCACACCTCCTACTTTTTCTTGCTTTGTGCCCTTTCACTCAGTTTCCATCTATACCCAAAGATCTACCCCAAATTTCAGCCAACTGAAATGTTTATTGATAATCCAAGAATTTTCATTTATATACTATATATTGGGGTTTTCACCCTAACCCTAACTCTAAAATGTAGTCCCTTGCCCAATTTTAATTTTAAAACCTCATCTCCCATAGCTTTTAAATTAGCTTTCCAGTCATGCAATACCACATTATCATCTGTTTTTATTTCTGAATCAGCTATGATACATCCAAAGTTCAGTCAGTTTCTTTCTCAAAGACATAAAATAACACCCACCCATGTTATTTCTTCTTCCTCTGGTCCGTTCAAGCAGGGGGCGCCCAGCTGCAACTTGATTGGTCACCAGTTTGACAGCTCAAACTATCAAAAGATTGGTGTCCAAGATGTCAAAGAAAAGATTGAGACCCTGCTCCCTCAAACTTAAAGATTGCGAAGGGAATACCATTCCCATTTTGGGAAGCAGTAAGGTAGCAGTAGAATTCAAACAATTTAAAAGTCGCCTCCAACTAATAGTAGTTGAGAGGACATTGCCCAGCCTTCTGGACCTAGATTGGTTCGACTCCCTTGGTCTTGCCATAAGTGGAGTTCATGCCACTGATGCCAAGGGACAGACACCATAGACACTCTAGCAAAGGAATTTGCTAGTGTCTTCAACAGTGAATTGGGCAAATACATTGGAAAACCAAATTCATTAAATTTAGACCCAAAAGTCACTCCAAGATGACTAAAAGCATGGCGAATGACCTTCGCACTCTGCCCAAAAATTGATTCTGAGCTTGATAAGCTTATCGCTCAAGGGGTATTAGAACCGGTGGATCATGCCCCATGGGAGACCCCCATAGTGACACCAATCAAGGCTGGTGAGTCAGTTAGGGTGTGTGCAGATTACAAGGCCACCGTGAATTTAGCGCTCTAATAAAGTGCATATCCAGTCCCTGTGGTGCAACATCTGTTGCACTTACTGGGTAATGGCAAGATCTTTGCTAAGCTTGACATGGCTCAAGCTTACCAACAGCTCCCAATGGACTCAGCCACCACAGAGGCTCAGACAATAGTTATGCACAGAGGTGCATTAAAATGTAATAGGTTACAGTTTGGCATAAGTTGGGATCTTTCAGAGCCTGATGGAACAACTCTTACAGGGTATCCCTGGAATCATTCCATACTTTGATGATGTAATAGTGTCAGCTAACAATGAGACCACACTTTTAAACAGCCTAAGGGAAGTGTTTAAAAGATTTCAGGTCACAGGCCTCAAGCTTAAGAAAAGCAAGTGCCATTTAGGGATCTCTAAAGTAGTGTTCCTGGGATTCCTGATCGATGCTGCTGGATTACATCCTACAACAGCTAAGGTTCAGGCCATCAAGAATGCACCCACACCAGCCAACAAAACTGAATTACAAGCTTTCCTGGGCCTACTGAACTTTTACGCTATGTTCATCCCACACAAAGCCTCAGTAGCAGAGCCTCTGTACAGACTCTTAGATAAGAAATCTCCCTGGGTATGGGGGTAAAAAGAGGCAAACACATTCAGAGCAGTTAAGGACTTGCTTACTTCAGACTGTGTGCTTATCCATTTCAATGAATGTTTGCCCCTGGTTCTGGCTTGTGATGCTTCTCCCTATGGAGTAGGGGCAGTTTTGAGCCACAAAATGCGTAATGGTTCTGAGGCCCCTATAGCTTTTTTCTCAAGGACTCTTACACCTGCAGAATGTAATTATAGTCAAATTGACAAGGAGCCCTTGCAGCCATCATGGGCATCAAACGTTTTCACAAATACCTATATGGACACAAGTTTGAACCAGAGGTGGGATTCAATTTTTTTTACTACCAGTTCTGTGGGTGTAGCTTGGTGGGCATGGCAGGGGAAGGTTACTGCAAAATCCCATTCCCTCCCCACCCCACTAACCTGCTTTCCAGCTGCATTCTCCTGTGCAGGGCAACAAAAGAAAACCCAGCCAATCAGCTGGGACTCGTGGGGCAGAGAATAGATTGGGGCAGGGCCAGTCAGAGGCAATATTTGCAGTTCTCTGGACTACTCAAAATTTCCGCTACCAGCTCTCCAGAACTGGTCAGAACTGGCTGAATACCTCCTCTAGTTTGAACTGATAACACGCCACAAACCCTTGTTGGGTATTTTTGCTGGGGACAAGGAAACTCCTCAGATTCTCTCCCACACATGACAAGATGGGCAGTATTCTTGGCTGCATACTCTTACAATTTATCCTATTGCCTGGGCAAGCACCTCAGTCATGCTGATGCCCTGAGCAGATGCCCTCTACCAGCTGCTGCAGAGGAACCTGAAGCTGAGGAGTCTATCCTCCTGATAGACCATCACCACCAGTTCCCAATGACTGCTGCAGACATTGCTGCACATTCAGCAAAAGATAAACAATAATACAAGTGCTGGGCTGGGTGAAAAGGGGGTGGCCACAAGGATCTGTAAACGTTGACTTATGTCCATTCAAGGCATGGCAGCAAGAATTGTAAACCAGCAGGGGGTGTTATAGGGAAGCAGGGTGGTGGTTCCCTCCACATTACACAAGCCAATCCTGGAAGCACTTCACAAGGGTCACCCAGGTATAGTGCGTATGAAGGCATTGGGCTGCAGTTACGTGTGGTGGCCTGGGATAGAACAGGCCATCACAGAATGGGTGTCAGGGTGCTAGCAATGTCAAGAATCAAGACTCTTACCTCCCAGGGCACCAGTCAGGGAATGGAAAACTCCTAGAGGCCCCTGGTCCTGACTGCATATTGATTTTGATCAAACCTTTTTAATTGTGATTGATGCCTTCTCCAAATAGGTGGAAATAGTTCTGATGACCTCCACCATGGCTGAGGCTGTAAGCATAGCATAACAAAAGGTATTTGCCAGCCACGGGCTTCCTGACCTGGTAGTTTCAGATAATGGTCCACAATTTACATCCAGAAGTTTTGAATTATTCCTTATAAGGCTGGGAATAAGACACGCCTTAGTTGCCCCTTCCAATCCTTCTAGTAATGGTTTGGCAGAATGAGGAGGAAAGTCAACAAAGGAGGCCCTGGCAAAGATGGGCCCAATATCTATTTATCCTAAATACAACTCCATGCCCTTCCACCAATTGCAGCCCAGCCGAATTATTAATGGGCCGATGGCTAAGAACGGTCCTAGACAGGCTTCACTCCACATATATGCCAGAGAAGCCTCTCGACTTATCCAGCAATACCAGGGGATTTAATGAAGGGGACCTAGTTTATGCTAGGAACTTCACAGGCAACCCACTATGGCTACCAGCCATTGTTACAAGGGTAACAGGGCTTTTTCATATATTATCAAGCTGGAGGACGGCCGGGCATGGAGACACCATATTAATCAATTAAGGGGGTGACAGAATTATAGGCCCGAGGCCTCTTTGCTGAAGGAAAACGACAATCCCTTGCTAGCTGAAGCCGGGCCTACTGCACGAGTAACATGCCACCAAGCAAACCTACCAGAGTCTCCTGCAAGGCCACCAGTCGAGCAGGTCCCAGCAGAGGTCACGGTGCAGACTCCTGAAGTTCCAGCCTCAACAACTCCAGCCGCTTCCAGCCAGCGCTGCGCAGATCAACAAGGATCTGCCGCCGCCCAACCTACCTCGAAGAATACACATGTACTATCGAGGTGGGAAGGAGTGCTATGTCTTCAGTTCTCCCTCTGGTCTGTTCCAGCAGAGGGCGCCCAGCCACAACCTGATTGGTCATCAGTTTGACAGCTCAGTATAAAAGGAGCTGTCAAACGGGCTAACAGCTGTTGCCTCAAGGCTGAGCTGAGCAGTCACATTTAAAGCGCACAAAGCTTTAAATAAAGCCTGAGCAACCTTAACTAGCCGCCTTGCCTCTCTCTGTTTGTGTGTTCATCTCCAGAACGAAGCAACCCACACAATTTCTATTCCCAATGCCAATGCTCCACAGAATTTGTGGGAGGGATACTTTTTCCATCAGAGGGAATAATCTTACCCTGTTTACCAGTCTTGGAGTTTAAGCCAGCCTTCCTTCCTACCACATAGGTACATCCCTTCCTACCACAGAGGTACATTTGTTGTATTGCATTGGCATAAACAGTAACTCTTCTTTTGTTTTCAGAAATCACGAGGCAAATGACACAATGCGAAATAAAAATGTGCATGGGATACAGGATATTAACTCAGAGCGTGGGAGGTGGACAGCGAAGAAGCAATCAGCTGTCAATCAGCTGGAGAGTAGGCCGGCAGCAGAAAAATGAACTAAGTGCAACAGAAAGATTTCAGGCCTCTCTAGAAATACAATGGCCATGTTGGTGTGTCAGGCACGCACAGGGGGCAGGGTTAAATAGGCAGGAAAGCATTAACAGTTATTGCTGCCTATGTTTTGGCTGCCATGTGCCTATGTTTCAAGGCCTGCAAGAATTAAAAGCAATTAATTGAACCTTATATTTCTGTTTCTTGGTTTTGGAGAATTGGAACAGTGATGCTGAGAATATATCTGCACAGTGCATAACCTCTGAATTTTTGGCATATGGGCAATTGTTGCTATCTTGTAAAGTAGTCTCCAGATTAGAGGTCCTCCTTGTATAAATTAGGCAAGCATGTTGAGGGGGGAAAAAACTGGACTGTGGTTGTGCTTATAACATCCTGATCAAAATATGCCAAAAATAACTGGTAGCATCCCAAACATTGGGATGTACACAGGAAAGTTATGCTTGGAGGTAAGGCATGGAAGAGAGGGGAGGTAAAAGAAATAATTGTTAGATGTGTCCCTCAACTGATATCACTCTGATTCATACTGGAATTCTCTATAGTTGCTTTTAGAATACAATTATTATATCACAAAATCCGAATGGTTTTTTTAGCCCTAAGGGAAGGATAGTGATAGCTCAAGATCTTTATATAGCTGCAGAGAATACAATATATGTAGTACTCTAGTTAGAATATGATAGAAAGGATGTGTAGAAAAACACATCAGAAATAAGGCTGCCAACATTTTAATGGTGATCTTGTATTGCTTCCATATGTTAGCACTCTAAAATACTACTGTTCTTTCCATATATTAGCTAATGAAATTAGAGTGGGAAGATTGACTGTTTACTTATATTTTCTAATCATATGAATGAAATGAATGTTTTCTTGAGATATTACAGAATAAAATTTCACTGGCGAACAGAAGACTTATGTGGTGTTCTAGTCAGATAAGCACATACTGTTCTTACCTCTTCAGGTTCAGTAGATTCTTTTCTTTTAGGAGGTTGACCAGCACCAGGTAAAAGTGCTCCCATTGGGATGTTGATATTGGCCTGGAAATTAAGTGCATGAAGTTATATTGTAGCAGATCTACAAAAATTAAGAGATGGAGTTTTCTTGATTGCCAGGCAAATTATATTTTGTTTCTTATCTCTTTTATTAAATGTCTTCTTTTATTATTTTAAATTTAGGCAGATTTAAAACAAGATTAATTCAGACAGCAAAATCTCAAGTTAAGCTTCCATATCAGTGGCAGCATCCCGAGCCTTGTTTAAATGGAACACCAGATGAGTGCTTAATATAATCTGGTGCTCTCATATTAACGTTTAAGGGAAATAGAGATTTGTATTTAAACCCTATGTTCTCCACACTTTCCCTATAAAGGACAACTTTTTTAAAATTTGTGGTGTCGCAGTGGTTAGAATGTAGTATTGCAGGCTAACTCTGCCCACAGCCAGGAGTTCGATCCTGATCCTGACTGGCTCAAGGTTGACTGAGCCTTCCATCCTTCCGAGGTTGGTAAAATGAGGACCAAGCTTGTTGGGAGCAATATGCTGACTCTGTAAACCACTTAGAAAGTGCACTAAAGCACTATGGATTGGTATGTAAGTCTAAGTGCTATTACTGTTCTTCAAGAGCAAATAAAATTTACTTTCTACTTGTGGAGGACAAGACAAGATGTATGGAGTTAATATGGCTTCTTAAACTCCTACAAAGAATTTTAGTTTCAGTCAAAACTGAATAAATACAATATTGAGGCTGCAGAAATCCAGACAACCACTAATAGTAATTCAGACTTTTGCATCCCAGATATGGTATCCATAAGAAATTGTAAAAACTTCCATATTCATATAAAGTAAGGTTTGCATGCTGATGGTTTGTATGCTGAACCACACAAAGTAAGGTTCAGCAGCCGATTAACAGCCTTCACAATCCTAAAATATTCTTACAGGAGCACCTAGAATTTATTGACTAGGCTTGAACCTTTAAGCACTGCATTTACGTTACAATGAATTTGTATTTCACACCTATCAAAGCATTTCTAATATTACTTGCTGTGGTTCAGAGAATATACTCATGGTTAATCATGAGGTTGAAATAGAGGGCTCTTCCTTATGCTCATTTTAAATAGTAATCACCCATATCCAAGCTAACAGATAAATATGCTGATATAAAATTTGTCTTCCAATTGCTGATAACTATCTACTATCATATTACCAGTTTGACCACAATACCGTAAAATGAAGCTATCTTTAGGAAGTGTGTGCAAGGCATCTTGAGGAAAGAAATTGGTAGCTCTTTTTCTTAGCTGTCAACTGTCCCATTGGCACATGCAGCAAAAGAAACTCCTGGGACATTATTTTACCAAGAGTATGACTTTACTTATAGATCAATACAGGCACAGAAGAAGTGAAGCTAGCTGTGAAGTTTTCACATGAAAAACAGCATAGTTAATTTCCCCTTTTCCCCATTCAGGCCACCCATTGTCCATTGTCCATCAATCCAACACCTTGTATTTTGGGAAAACAGTCTGCACCTTCGGAAGGTTCCCATTGTATAGCCTTGAAGTGTCAGGATTTTCTCAGGCTGCAAACTGTTCACATAAACCCCTCGCCTCCCTCCCAACTCCTAATACATTCCAAGATTCCCCTGCCCCTTCCATTTCTGTCGTCAAGTTGCAAGTAGAAGTGTATTACTAGTCAGCTTTGACATGTCAACCCTCCAGAAAAAAGATAAGTCTGAAAAAAAACAGAACAAATGTACAAAATAGCACACAACACAGGGTTCTCTACTCTACCATCCATTCTGGGTTGGTCTGGATATTTGGCATGGAATTTGCTAATGAGTCTAGATGCCCTAACATCCTTCACTCCATCTACTCATTATCTGCTAAAGGATATACTTTCCACAACACTAAATATTACAACTTCCCCTTGCATTTTCTGGAGTCAAGAATCTCCTTGATTTCAAAGTGCTATTCTCCTCTCACTAAGATTGGGGAAGGAGGTAGTTCAGTAGCAGGTTTTTAATGCTGAACCATGGAAAGCAGGGGTGGGATTCAAATTTCTTAACAACTGGTTCTGTGGACATGGCTCAATTTGTGGGCGAGGCTTGGTCATGTGACTGGATGGGCATGGCTTGCTGACTGGGCGTAGCTTGGTGGTCATGTGACTGGGGTGGGCATGGCCAGGTGGCCAATGTGACTGGCAAACCAAATTTAAGTGGTCCTCGCTTAATGACCAGGTCCTCATTTAATGGCCAGTTGCTTAGCAAGTGTTTTTTGCCAGTTTCCAAGGCCTGGAGAGGGCAGGGCGAGGCTCAGGCAGGTGTCCATGTGACTGGCAAACCAAATGTAAGTGGCCTTCGCTTAATGGCCAGTTGCTTAGCAAGTGTTCTAATTTACGACTGACCTCCCCAGAGCTACTTGATCTGTTTTTGGAGTTTTGACAGCCATGCACACACACTGACTCTCTCTCTCTCTCTCTCTCTCTCTCTGACCAGTTACAACATCCCACGCAGTCATGTGACTGAGGTTTTCTATGTTTTTTGCCAGTTTCCCACAATTCCTTCTGATTTCCAGTTAAAAATGGGGAAAAGAGACTTGTTTAACAACCAGTGTTCACTTAATGACCACAATGTTCACTTAATGACAATGTTGTTTGTCTAACCTTAAACACCCAAAGAGCCATTTTTCTATTTTCTTTTAAACAGATCTCTCTCTCGCTCGCTCTCTTTCTTTCTCCCCCCATCTTTCTCTCTCATCTCTTTTTCTTTCTCCCTCTCTTTCTTATCTCTCTCTCATTTTTCTCTCTGTCATCACTCTCTTTTTCTTTCTTTCTCATCTCTTTCTCTCTCTCATCTCTCCCTCTCCCTCTGTCTGTCCCTGGGAGGGAAAGGAACATTTGAACTGGTGCTGGGTAGTGGGAATCTGAGGAGCCAGTACTGAAGATAGCTGGCAGGGAGGCGGGGCAATCCCACAGTCTCCCCAAAAATAACGCTTCTGGTGAGGAGGAAGAAAAGCGCATTGGGAGGAGACTTGGTGGGTGACATGGGGCAGCGAGTGCTTCATGGCTCCTGAGTGGGTCGAGCCTTCCTGCTCCCAATTGCTGGCAGCTGCTTCCTGCTTCTCTGCAGCCATGCTAACAGCATTCAACCTGGCTGCTTCCCTCCTCCTTCTCAGCCCCATACATACAGAGCAAACACTCATACATCTCACAGTGCTGGAGGGACTCACCCACGCACCGATTCCTTGCAGAAGATCCTACCAGCACTATGTGTGCATGCTGTACCAGAGAAGGAGGATAAGAATTGCCAAACTTTTCTTCCCCCCTTCCCTTCGCAGAGGAGCTGCTCGGAAGGCAGCTCCTGTCCATTTATGGTCCTCACTCACCCACTCATGTCAAAGTACCTTAAAGGGGCAGGCTGCGGCAGCTGCCTTCACGCTGGGAGGAAGAAAAGTTCAGCAACTCTTCTCCTCATGCGTACACACACACACACACAGAGCATGCACACATGGTGCTGGAGGGATTTGCCCACACGCCAATTCCTTGCAGAAGACCCTTTGTGTGTGCATGACGCCAGAAGGACTCACCCATGCACAGAAGGTCCCAGCCTCACATGTCCATACTCTGTGTGAATGCCCGAGAAGGAGGAAGACTTGCCAAGTTTTTCTTCCTCTCTTCTGACACACACTGGCCAGGCAGGTGAGCAGTGTCACGTGGAGTAAGTGTCCTCCCAGCCAGTGCAGCCATGGGGCTCCAACCTCATACAAATGTAAGTTTGCAGATACCCCAGGATTCCCAGCTTTGGCTGCAAGAACTGCAGACAGCCTTCCCCACCACACACATCCTCCTCCCGCCGCCCCATGTGAGGCACGAGGCCTGACAGAAAGCACCTGGCCCAAAGACAAAGCCCTCCATGATGGAGCCCTTCCCGGGGAACAAAACAAGAACTTACTGATCCATCCCAAAGGGGAGCTTCAGAGTGGTGGCAATGGCGCTCTGGGTGGATGACCCTCGGGGCCCTGGGAAACCGTCTTGTGCAGCACAGCAAAATTTGCTTTAGCAACCAGGAGTTGCTGCTTTGAGTTCTGCAAGTCCCCCTCTCTTTGGGAGTGCAAGTCCCCAAAGCTAAATTTTGCTGTGCCGGGAAAGAAACTCTTGCTCTCTCAGCTAGACCAGCAGGGAGAGAAGCAGCTACTGACCCCGCCAGAACCAACATGAGCACCTCTCCACATGTTCTCCTGCTGCTTTTGCTGGGAGAGCGACAAAGTCTTTCTTGCACAGCGATAAGCTAAATTTTGCTTTGCCAAGACAGACTCTCTCACTCTCCCAACTAGACCAGCATAGGAGAGAAGCAGCTACTGACCCCGCCGGAGCTGACTCGGAGCTGCTCCATGTGTTCTCCTGCGAAGGCAAGTGGGGGGGGGAAGGTGACTGGCAGCGGGAGTAAAAGGCAAGTGAGAAGAAAGGTGACTAGGGGCGACAGGTAGGAGACCGGGGCTTGCTTGCATAGCCTCACTCACCTAGGAAGACCATGGTGGAAGGCAGACTGCAGGCAGCGATGGCACATGGCCAGGATAAAGAAGGGTGGGGTTAGAATGCAGTCAGCTTGTCGTGCATGCATGCGATGTTGTGCATGTGCGATAAGGACTGATTGGGCAGTGAACGGAGAAGCGGGCAGAGAGGGGCGGGGCCAGTCAGGGGCCCATTTTACCAGTTCTCCAAACTACCAGGAACTGTAACATCCGGTTCTATAGAACCAGACCGAACCAGTCGAATCCCACCTCTGATGGAAAGTCTTCAAGAGGCTGCAGTGAAACACTGGGTGAATGTGCTCAACGCTTTTTGGCAGTTTTAACCACACTGTCACTGAATTGATGTTCCGAATAATTGGGAAAGGCCCTATGAACTTAGGTCCCAGTTTTTTACAGGGTTGCCTCAGGTTCAAAAATTTTGCAGATAGGTACACCCCGTCTCCTACTCTATATTCCCTCTGATGTGTCTTCTTCTTGTCATCTTCTCAAATGCTTTACGCACTGTGACCCAAGTGG